CGCTCCAACGCAAGAGACGTGTTTTTCTTGTGGAATATGATTGAAAATGTTCCTTTTGGATGGTTGAAGTGCAGTTATGTAGAGATTTAAAAAAGGAGGAATCTGTGCATGATATAAATCGTGAACGCATTCAGCATTACATCTCATTAAATCTGTAATAAATATTGCAAGATAAACGTCGAGGACTTTTCCTGCTAAAAATGTTATATCCGAACAGGAAATCTTCAAGAACGATTTTCTAAGCATGTGACGCGATCTATTTATCCTTGTTCCAGGAGTGTCCGCGAAAAAGACAGCCTCACGGAATGTATGTTTAACTAAAAGTGAATCGCAGATAGTTGGTCACACTTCACAGATTCCAGAGTTCGACAGCCTTTAAACTAGACACATGCAATGTTGACCGAAAAAAAATTCACAAAAACGGAATAATAATAGATTTCCTCATTTTTGAACAGACAAAAAGCTGCTGGAGTACGTGATTATAATGGCAAGGACGAAGATGAGGGAGTTTTTTACGCCGCCTCCATTATTGCCGAATTAATTACTTCTTTGAGCAGTGGAGGAGTTCAAAAGGGATTTCCAACAAATTTTCAGCACAAAGGACTCAAAAAACTGGTTCCAACTCGTTTATTTGCCATATAAGTATAACAATGTGCTGCATAATACTTCGTTATTCAAGACTACTTCGCACCTTTGAATATTAGATAGTGCTCGTGCTGTTTTCATAGAGGTATTCATGCGAAATAATCCTTTGTTTAGGCACTTGGGGAAATTTATTAATTCATCCGCAGTGCCCTCTTTAATTCCCACCTTACCTCTGACTCCTGACATGGGTTTACTATAAATTATGAAATAATTAAAGTACTCGTAATTAACTCTGGAACATGTTTGGGGTGAACAAAGACAAGGTTAAAATAAATGCAACCAAGTTCACGTAGCTTTGAATCCATGTCTCTATTTAAATTCCTGAAGGCGCCACATAAACACGGTTACATATAAATTAAGACTGAGCATTATCCTCTAACAGCCACTTGTTCGCACTAAATGAGATGCGAAATAAATGAATTAGATCTTTCTAGTATAACCTGTATTGCTGAAATCATTATAACTCAACTAGCGTTCAAAATAGATAGAACATTGACTTCGCGTTTTTTTAATTATGGTCTATTTATACCTACTACATTTGTAATTTTTTTTGGCATCGAGTAATAATTACCCTGTTACATTTTACTAATTGGAAATAAATTATTCACCTCTAATTTAATTTAATTCAATTTACATGACTATCGCGCAGCCAATAATTTATTCGTTACAACCATAACCCATCGCTGCTATCTCTACAACATTCCCAAATGTAATTTTCTACATTTCGTTCCAAACTTTTTGTACATTTTTAATCTGAATTGTACATTTGCACACAACCTTGCCTAAATTATCTCGATGATAACTGTCAATTTCCTTCAAGAAATTGGGCGCTACAAAAACATTTGATGACATAATTTGTAGCTGCGGTTTGTAAAAAACGTCTCCAAATTCCTGCAAGATACTGTTAATACTCGCCTAATGACTCGGAAGATTTTAATTGCCTCGACAATTTCAATTTAACTACACAAAAATTAATTACCTTATGAGGAATCCCAACTATGCGAACTCTAACTAAAGTAAATCAGCAAAGTAGGTAGAAAACAGGAATTCTTTCCATGCCAGCTGGTTGCAACAACCGACATGTTACAAGAATCATAAATTACTGCATTATACCTTAAACTTGTTTTATTTTACTTGGGTCTTTTATAGGTCATAACGATACAGTTTTATGGACTAGATTGCATTTGTGCGATAGTTAACAGAAATATAATAAAAGAATCACTTGGTAAATGAAGGTCCAACGACAAATAAAACAGACAACAAATTTATAGTGTAAAAACAATGTAACAACTGGATTAAATTTAACACAAAGAAATATTTTTTTTGTTTTAATATTAAGCGCAAAATTTTCGCAAAGGAAAGTAAATAATTTTCCATTCTTAATTTTACAAGCCTGACAAAAAAAAATCCTTTGTAAAATTATTATTAGTTATAAATTTTATAAAAAAAAATTGTCCAAAAACGGGCACACCCTGGCGATTAGTTGCATAAATTTCATAATCATACGATCTCACCAATTTTGAGCACTGGAATAGTGAACAGCAATTTTAACTGTCGTGAGTAAACCGTAATATGACTTCCACTTTAGTAAATGTGAAACCACAATTGCTAAAATCAAGACAAAAAATCAGAAAAACCATGATGGTACCACACTGTTCCCACAGTAATGGTCATATAAACTAAAATCTTATGAATTAATAAAAAATAATTTAAAGCACTTGTTGATCATTATCCTACTGTACTGTTGTAAATAATGAAAAATATTTTGATTTAAACCGATTTTAAATGAATTTGAAGTTAATATGTTACAATAGTCTGCGAATAATTTTTTTGTATACAGGGTGATTTTTAGAAATGAAGCGAAAATTCAGGGGTTATTCCTTGGGTTATTTTAAAATTTTTTAGTCCTTGAATGATTTTGGGAAAGACGGTTTGTTTGGAAGATACAGGCTACTAAAACAACTGCTGAAAATAACTACGATTAGCAGCTAGAATGCAACCATTCATCTTCTCCTCATTCCCTACCGAACTTATTCAAAAATACCGGTTGTTCTTCTTAACAAAAATCTTCCACTGGAGTAGTGTACATTAATTAATCTTTTCAACTGTTGCGATAATTAAAAATCTAAAGGATCTAAGTCTGGGAATTGAGGAGTTTTACTTTATATTTTTCACCATGTATTTTCAAACCAAGCGTTTTCAGAAAATCATTCATGGACAAAAAAATGTTAGAATTAACCAAGGAATAACCCCCTGAATTTTTCATGCATGTTAATAAACACCCTGTATACAACACTAATAAATTTGTTTTATTCTTAGATCAATGTAAAAGCTAAATACTGAAATCGGTGTAGTTAGTAATTGATGTTTATAACAAAATCTTTATAAACAGTCTACGGAATGAATTCAATTTTTTTAACTTGTTAGAATATATAAATAGGCATACAATTTTTTAATAAATATAAAGGTAAAATCTCTAAATCTCTGTATTTATCTATATTTTTCCAAAGTAGAATTTTCTGAAATTGCTTGTCAACTCAATTTTCAACGTTTGATGGAAATCTTATTTTGATTTTCGAAGACTAAAGTGACTAAAAATGCTAATTCTGACAATAAAATTTATTTATGTTAATAACTGTTTACCAAAAAAATTTTCTTTGTGATCTACGAAAAATTTTTGTGAAATTTTCAAACAGCGAGATTTGTCTTTTTACTGTTAACAATTTTTAAAATCATAAAAATTTTGAAACGTTTTGTGTAAGGTAACATTCTAAACAAGAAACTATAATTTTAATAAAAAAAAATGCAATGAAAAAAATATTAAAAATGGCGAATTACAATATGATTTACGGCCTGGATCAGATTTTTTTTTAATTTTCTTTAAAATCATAATTTACGAACTTCAACCTAAATCGCTGCTTACTTCTACACCGACAAATGATATTTACTAAGCAACTGCAGTTTTCGAAACAAAAGCTAATCAAGCATATCAAAAATTTGTGATATAATTTAAAATAATTTACAGTTCTTTAAAAAAAATAACTTTTGAGATCTTCAGCTCAATTTTAATTCCAGGTTTTCTTTATTTAACAAACAATTCTTTTCCATTCTTTGCCGACTGCATCTGCAGCAATTCTAGTAATATTTTTTCGTTCTTTGCATTTTTTGAGTTCTGTTGCAGGTTTATGAAAACACTATAAAATAATTATAAATTAATTTAATATACGTAATGTTGTGAATTTAAAATTTAAAAAAATATCCGAATTACTGATTTTGTTAAAAAAATCTTCTTTCCTACAAAAGTTTCAATTTAGAAAAGTATAAAGTGTAAAACTAAAAATTGAATTCCTTGAACAAAATATATTCTTAGATATTTGATGTCTTAAATAGCATTTTCAATCATATTTTACTATACTATTTTTTTTAAACCAATGTAATTATCGAAAAAATTTTAAAACAATTTTTTCTTACAAAAGTTATGAAGTTTTATTACTCCCATTAAAAAAATACTACACTATATTAAGATATTGCTAATAATAATACAAATATTTTTAGTATGCATTTTAATTGAGTCGTTTCAATTCAAGAGTAACTGACAATAAATAGTGGCGTCTGGATCATTACAAAGCTAATAAACACATAAATGCTATTTTTGTGACTCATATAGTAAAAATAATTACCTGAAAGAATTATAATGGTAAAGCGATCTTCATTTCATCGTCCTAAATCGTAAAAATTGTTTTAATAACAAGTTTCATAACGCACACCGCTTTACCTTCAATTTTATCGCTAAAATTATGTGAACAATACAGTGTCCAGTTGGTGCAAGTTCGTCGATTTCAACCCATTACCGCTGTCACTGAATATGAGTGGCGAATTACCATCTAAAAAAGCTGCACGCTTTAATTTGAATGAAGCGTGAAAATGCTGGTGTTAATCATCCAAATTGTCTTCCCAGAAGAATTTGTCGAGTTTCAAAGTCAGGTAGCAGATCGCGAGACACGTTTCATTTTGTTTACGAAAAAATCAGATCTGAATTCTTTTAATAATGACTTAACAACTTTCAAATTAAGCTCTGCGCTCGAATTATGGTTCCCGTTAAAATTCCCTACAAAAAAAAAATATTCAAACGAAGCTGCAAAAAACCTCGGGAAATTTGCTTAATAATTAATGACAATGGATCGTTATCGGCCAACAAAGCCCCACTTGTGGCAAACAATGTCTTTTGTAGTCGTCTATTATCCATTCTCGTGCTTCAATAACGGCTAAATTTTTTATAAATCGGTTAGATTAGATATTCGTAGTCGCTGGAAAATGAAGAGAAAAATTGAAAAGCTTGCGAGCTTTCGGCGTACCTGGCAAAACGGCGGCTAGGACGAGCGAGGCAATCAGCAGCCGAAGATCCATCATCGAGTCCGCAAGAAGACACTGAGCACTGCACACTAATGAAACCAACGCGGTCTGCAAAGGAAACACACAGACTGGCCTATATTGGACCACCTCTTCTACATATAGCCGGCGTGTTCCATGCCACTCGGTATGTGCCCTCTTCCACATCATTTTTGATAAGACACTCGGATGTGGAACGTTGTCTTATTGTCTTTTCAAACAATCGAAACGAGAGAAATTTTGCGATATCGAAGACAAGTCGGTATCAGACGCTTCCTTGTAGATATCCTGCTATAAATTTCTGTGAACAGTTAGAATCGGAGCCATTGACTCGGCTCTTTTGACTCGATGCAAAATTGGAAATTAACGCGTAATGTTTCTACTTGGCTGATTGTGCAGCAGATATTTTTTTAATAGCTTCCTCTTTTGACAGCATGTCGTAAACTGATACTGATACTATCTTCGGCAGGTCTTCCTCGGATTTATTTAGTCTACGATTGGATTACCGGAATGTTTTCTTTACGGAAATATATAAATACAGGGCATTTCCCGCTGGGTGCGGCTAAAATTATCCAAAAAGTATACATAACACGCAACATTGCTTATTTGTATCGAATTTTTCAAGTTTCAAATGAAAGGTTCATAATGATCGGTATCTGTTTACTTCTGTCGCAGCATCTACAACATAAATTAATTAGATATTGTGCTTATATAACATAATGATACAATGGTAACGGTAAACAAAGTGTGATACCCTCTGACTCTCACGCCCAAAGTTTAAAGTCTAACTAACGCCCTCACACTATAATAAAATATTTGGTCATACACAAAAAATTTCGTAAACTGGAATCGAATCCGGATACATATACAACTTATTCGTCAATAATTGTATTTTAAAGATGTGGGGAATTATTGCTAGATCTTGCTTATGTTTATTATTATTTAATATTAATCGAATTGGAATAAAATAATTCATGTTAAAAACTGCTCCAAAATCGTTGTCAGCATTGTAACATCCATAGGTGCATGGCTACTTTCATGTTTTCTCGACGTTTCATGACCCCTCTAAACTATGAAAATTTGATAACATCACCTCAAATTTTACATAGGAAATGCTATTAAAATTATTTCATTATTTATCGAATAAGCGGGATTCGTTAGACTGTACTCCGTAACTACCGAACGGATTGTGGTCAAATTTTTTATGTCTATTATGAATTTCATATATGTAGATGGTAAAACGCTAACCAAACTTTGTCTAATCATCTCAACCAACAATGTGATAACGTCACCTTAAAATTGTACATAATAAATGGATTTTAAATTGTTTAAAATAACATACTCCTACACGTGTAGTTTATGAGTCCGTGTTGAAATTTTAATCGAGACATCCAAACTTTTGAAAAAAAAATTCAAAATTGAATTACATTTTACAGTTTAATTTTGAATCTACAAAACCGAATGCATTAAAATTTTGCAGACGTAAACTTATCTTGAGCATGGTAAATTCTGAATTAAAATATATTTGTTTATCCTTCACCCCAAAAAATTGATGACATTATCCAAAATTTTGGCGAATAAATCCTATTGAAGATATTTAAAATATGGTGAGTCTGTTCTTCTGATTTATCAGTGCATTTGTATTTTTATAGATTTTTATAGAATGGTTAATGCAGGGTGACTAAAAAAAAATAATGAATGAATCAATTTATTTTACTGATTGACTCAGGAACGGCTCAATCCATTTTCTGGAAAATTTGGGAATACTATACCATACTGTTATGTTATTAGTATTACATTGTACCTATCCAAATTGATATACGTGTCTTTGCAAAAATGTTGATGAAAACAGTATAAAATTTTGTCAAGGAAAAACTCATTAAAAAATTTATTTTAACATTACATGCATCTTTATATTAATTTGTAGGGGCTCTCATAAAATAAAAAAAAATCGCAAAATCAAATTTTATCATTTTTCGAAAAAACTGGATTGTTGTATTGTAACGTTCAATTGAAAAATCACTCACATATTCAACAATTGCAGTGGTTTGTTTTAAAATGTACCTAATGTTAAATTTCAGTCAAATGGATGTTATAACAGTCTTAAGAGTAGACGTGCCGTTTGTGTCAAATGAAATTTATTGCTTACTCAGGGTAATTTTTCAATTAAGTACCTGTTATTTCAGGGACAAGGGAAGTTCTATCGAAATGACCTATTAATCAAGTAAACAAAAAATTTAAAAAAATGTGCTCAATGTAATTTTATTTTAAGTTAATAGTTTATCACTGCAGGATCACCTGTACACTTCTGTATAGTTTTAGTAAATTTTTAAGTCGTATAAATTTTTATATTGACAGAATGAAAAAAAGTAGGTATTATAGTATTTTCTTCATGAAAAATTGTCTGCCTAAAGATTGATTGGATGAAATATTTCATTTTTACTTCTAGAGCGTAAACGCTGAATGGCTACTTACAAGTTTTCTTAACGTTTCATGACCCTTAGAGTACAAAAAGTAGGTTTCGCGTTTTTGTCAGTTGTCTATCTGTCGTCTGTCTATAGTATGTCTGTGTTGATTTTTAATAGACAATCTCCAAAACTATCACACCGATTGTTGTCAAATTTTATATGTATGTTAGTAAGACATATTTTCTACATGGTGAAACCGTGACCAAAATTTGTCTGATGTCTCTCAGTTCTTTTTCTAAGTAAACGCTATTTAATTTTTTTAAATAATGTACTTCTGTATTTGTGGTTTACGAATCCGCCTTCAGTTTTTAATAATAATAACATTTAATAGTAATATCAGGTACATACAAACGTGTTTGATAGTCATATACATAGACATTAAAATTGGATAAAAGTTATACAATCCAGTTACATACAGAAAAATTGATGGAAGGCTATTTCGACAAAACTTTCCTCGCCTCTGAAGTAAAGTAAAACAAATCAAGGTTTTTCGAAAAATTATAAAATTTGATTATGGGAGAACACTTACAAGTTAAAATAAAGATATGTATGTAACGTTAAAGTAAATGTAAAGAAGCATGTTAGGTGTACGTTCTAAACGAGTTTTCCCTTAACAAAATTTTGTGATGACGTCATCAGCATTTTTGGAAAAACACGTATATCACCTTGGATAGGTGTAGTATAATAATAATGATAACAGTACTGTATTCCCAAATTTTCGAGAAATCAATTGACAAATTCGTTAATTTTAACGAGTCACCTGTATAATAAATTTAAAAACTTTTAATGCAATGATAAATCACAAGTATATACTCATCATATTTTGCAGATTTTGGATAGGATTTATTCGCCAAAATTTTGAGATGACGTCATTAATTTTTTGGGAGTAAATAAACGACTAAATTTTACTTAACGATTTACCATGATTACGACAACCTTAAAATATTTACAAGATTTCAGAACAATCGGTTTTACAGTTTCAAAGATATATTGCAAAATATTGTTATTCAGTTTTGAATTTTTTCCAAAAATTCTGGATGTCTAGGGTGAAAATTCGATACAGATTCGCTCAGTACATGTGCAGGAGTATCTTATTTTATAAAATTTAAAAAATATATATTATCAATTTTTGAAATGGCGTCATCCCATTGGTGGTGGGGATGATTAGCCAAATTTTAGTTAGCATTTAATCATCTACATGATATATGGATACAGACATCAGACAGACAGACAGACAGACAGACGGACGGAAACGGGAGACGTCGAGAAAACATGAAAGTGATCATTCGGCCAATGGATTCGATTACAAAGTATACTTCCTTAACTTACGCTCATACCTTTGTTATTTATTTTTAAATTTATTGCATTGAGGCAAATAAAATAAACCAGTAGAACACAAACAGTCTTAAAAAACTTTATCTAATAAATAGTTTGCAAGAAGAAAATATAACAAAATATAAGGTATTACGTACAAGCTAAGTAATTATTGACGAAAACCCTATTACATCCAAACTTTCATGTTTTCTCGAAGTCTCATGCCCCTAGAGTAGGAAAAATATGCCTTCTGTTTTTGTCTATCTGTCGTTTCTGTCGATTTTAATTAGAAAAATAATTTCCGAAACTATCAAACCGATTGTTGGCAAATTTTGGATATATGTTAGGAATATCATGTACATGGTAAAACGCTAACCAGAATTTGTCTATTTATCACCACCAATAATTTGATGTCGTCATTTCGTGATTAGTAAATACTATTTAAATGTTATAAAATAATATAGTCTTGTCTTGTGGTTTATGAATCCGTCATGATTTTAGCCAATATCTGGCTTGCGGACGAAACATGCACATGATGTCCGAGTATTTAAAACGTTCGACTTGAGCTCTGCTCTCGTGGTTTCAAATTCCATCCTCGTCGACATTTTTTAAGACATTGAATTTGTTTGTATGTTTTTTGACTTCAGGCGACTCTAAATAACTTTAGACCAATTTTAAAATATGGTACCAAAAGCAGCGTTTAGATAATATTGAACTTTACGATGTTTTGGAAACAGATTTTTGTCTACTACACAATGTATTTCTTCTCAAAATAGCAGTTTCAAGTTGAGTCGACGTAAACCACACTGGTTTTTGTTGTATTTACGTGTGTGCACTTTTTAACAAATTTGAAGTGTAGGAAACCAATTAAATTTAGTTACCGTATTTGCAGGAACTAATAAGAACTACTTCTTCGTTTTATTTTCCTGTCCTTAACTCAGTTTTTGCAAAGGATATTGAATCAATTCAAAATGTATTTAATTTTTTGTTCATTCTTTGGTGTAATTTTATGTAGCTGTATTAGGGGTCTATTTTGTAATTTATCGCTCCAGAACGATCTCGTTCCCAAACGATAATCGTTAGAAGCAATCGTAAAATCAGTTTAGCGAGATTGTAGAAATTTCCAATTTTATAAACACTATCGTAATCGTAAAGCTTTGAAATCGTTAGCGTAACGATGAATCTAATGTTTTTAGAATCGGTAGTATTTGAATTTGTGTAGGCTGTGGATTACGCTGTTCTCTGTGTGACATTTGTTTTGAAAGTTAGTAAAATTTTGTGAAGTTATAACTTATAGCATGTAAGTAAACAATAATTATGAAAGAAAAACATCAAAATAATCACACTAACACGAAATTCAGTTTACAATACGTTCACAGAAGCAATGGACAAACGTAAAAGGGCCCAG